CCCCAAAACCCCAAAACCCCAAAACCCCAAAACCCCATAAAGGAGTATATCTATTTATTTTTAGAGTAAAAAGATAGAAAAATAACAGTTATTATATAGGCAAGCTTAATTTTATTTTCACTTCTCTGTTAGTTCTCTGAAACCTTTCCATGTAGTTGGTGGAGTGCCATTTAATTCTTCTATATAGCTCTTCAGTGTAATAGTTGGACCATCATTAGGGTTCATTTTAAGGCATTGTGAAAGTAAATCTTCAGCCGTGGCCCAATCACCCAAGATATATTTCTTATAAGCTTCATTGAATTTCTTAGTGAAAACTTTATCATAGTTTCTACGGAGTTCTTTAAAATCTCTATCTTTGGAAAATATATCCCAAGTGGTTACTTTTGATCCTGCATCAAATAGTCTGCTTAGGAGTAATTTCTTTTTCTTGTCTCTTGCCTATTTCTTTTACTTAACTGGTAATCCCATTAACTTATCTTTAGTCTCATGAAGATTGTCAAAATCAACATCAACTGTGAGGAATTTCACAGGTAATACACTACCCTTGACTGTAACTGTGTCGATTTCACGACAAAGCATTTTAATTTTGTCAGTGAAAATGTCATGCAAGGGTCCAGATATCAGAAGTGGGACACCATATTATTTTGTAGCAGCCTCTAGTCTAGAAGCCATATTTACATTTGGAGAGAGATACGATGCATCAATCTTGAACATTGATCCAATGGCTCCCTCAATAGCCCAACCTTAATGTAGCCCGAATCCCATCTTGACTGAATATCCTGGCATTCTCTTGTTTAGTTCAGGATCTTTTCTATATTCAAGAATATGTGCTAATTTGTTGACTTTAGCAATGATCTTTAAGAAAGAGAATAAAGCCAAGTCGGCACAATACTGATTATCTCTGGTAATGACTTGAGGAGTTTAAAAGAACTCTTCCTCATTTCTGAATTTCCATACAAGCAAAAAGGCATCACCAATATTTTTATTTGCTGATCCTCCATATTTATCAACCATAGAGTGAGTAATTTCTGCTATCTAGTTAACAAAAAGCATAACTTTTGTTTATAAAATCTCAGTAGAATCAGTAAAGTTTCTAATATCACAGAATCCAAATATAGCAAAGACTCTTTAGCCAGCCATCATAGGATTAATATCACCACCCATACTCATATTTGAGGCAATAATTTTAGATCCAGCCTCTCCAAAACCAAGAGCAAGTAAGTGACCAATTTTGACGATTGCTTTTTCAAGGATAGCGGTTTCATATTGAGCATCTTCTTTTTATTTTTTTTCAGATTTTTTTTCTTAATTTTCAAGCATTGTCATAACACCAGCATTATCTACTTCATCTCCTGCTGCAGCAAGTGGATTCTTTGCTATCAACTTCACTTTTTCTAGCATTCTTTCTATCGGTGTCAATACTAGTCTATTTGCATCACTAGTAAACATAATGGATGCAATAGATAAGATAACGCAAATGAAGATTGTTCTTGATATTGAAAGTATTGCTACCATTCTGCTGTTAGTTCTTTGGTCTATAAATGCAACAAAGTTTACACCATCATCAGAATATGCAACAGAAGCCATAAATTCGTCGCTTCTCAAATCTTCAAGCTAGGGATTCTAAGTCCAAGTAATAGTATTAGACGTTCTTGTTTTGCTAGTATAATCTGGAATAATGAGAACGATTAAAGGATATTGAGCTTCTACACTAAAAGCAGCAATAAATTATTAGGCAGTAACTTGATATGCTGTCCAGTTAGAGGTTTCATACATGTCTACGAGATTAAACAAGCCTTGATCAGTGTAAGAAGGATTGGTCACATAAGTGCCAACACTAAATACAGGCTGGAAGAACAACATAACTAGCACCAAGATAATAACGATCTTAGTAGTCCTTTCAGACAAAGTCTTAGAGATGTTCGATTCTAAAGGAATATCAACATCTTCATCATCATTATGCACACCAGCAGCTTGAAGTTAGTCTGGTTAAACAGAGGAAGTATCAAATCCAAGCGACTTCTTGAAGGTAGATTGATCACCTTGATTTTAATTGGGAGTTTCATTGTTAACTTAGTTTATGCTTTTCTTCTGAGAGTCATCTTGACTTTTCTATTGTATAGATACCTTAATGTTAGGCTAAGAAATGCTATTTGATTACTGCTCGCGCTAGTTCTTTTGATCAACCTATTTGAAATCTTAGTCTAGTGAATCCTCATACTTTCTCTCTTCCTACACATTCTCACTGATCACTGCTAGTTGTTTGCTATTATTTGGACCACTTTTATCATCATGAATATTTATGGTTCTAAATCTTTCTTAGCTTAAATTAATGTTTTGCGAACTATTCTGATTATTAAAATTTGTGGCCATCCTATTAACTCTAGAAGTTCTCTGTTTTGCTCTTTCCAATGTTTCCTTTTACTTTTGCTCCTCCTTTAGCTTATCTTCTTATTTTTACTATGCTAACTTAGCCTACTTGTAGAGCTTGACTATACGAATCAATCTTATGAGTCTAATGACTCTGATAACTCTGGTTACTCTACCAGCTCTGGAAGTCTTTGCCAACTAAGCTGCATTGCCTGCTTAGCCTGAACCACCACCACCTGTTATTAGGTCCATAATCCAGCCAATATCTGTAATCATTGAAAGAGTCGATACAACATCAAGCCAAAAGAAGAATGTCAGGAAATACTTCTCCTTTACAATAGATGCGCAAATAATTTCAACTGCGAAAGCACAGAAGCAAAATGTTGTAATACCAAATATAATATCGTCAGTATGAGTCGTTAGAGCAATCATTCTAATATCATCAAAGAATAGGGAGTAAACTGTGATAGCAGACATAAGACTGGTAATGATGTAGTTATCAAGTATTTTTTCTCCTTTTATTTTCCATTTTGGCCTTTTAACGATCTCTTCTTTAGTTTGTTCTAGCATATTTTTATTTTCTTCATCATCATCTGGCTAACCTTAGTTCTCTTTATTTTTAACACTAATATCATCTTTTGACATTAGTGAACCTGGCTAAACAGACTGATTCTACTTCAGTTCTGGTAGCTTTGAGTTATCATTTGCTGATATGTTATTCTGAGATGGCTCATTATTATGCTAATCTTGGTTTTTAGATGCAACACTCAGCACATCTTATTTCTACATATTTGATTATAATATATGACAATTGAATTACTGATAAAGGCCATTGTTAAAGTGATTAATTAACTGATAACGGCTTTTCTCCCACTCCAACTTTCTCAGTATTCAATGATTATGGCAGATCTTTATTATGTTTATTCTCGTCAAAAGAATTATCCTATCCTGATCTTTCTATCTCACGAGCTGTGTTACTTTCGCCTAAAATGAAGAGTTATTATTACTATTATGATAAACTTTTAATGAAGGAAAATTGGAAAAGCATTTTTATGAGTAAAATCATAAGCAATGCCCACCAGGACAATGAAAAACTTACTCTTCAGTCGCTCTGAGTTTATTTTATGCTGTTACAATTATGTTGAATCCATTTGCAGCCGATATTTAAGAATTATTGAAATACCAATTATAAACGAATTTAAATAAAATTATTCTTATAATTATCTCTTTTTTTTATACTCACGGGGTTTTGGGGTTTTGGGGTTTTGGGGTTTTGGGG